CCCTATCATTTTGCCTTCTCCAGAATGTAGTGTAAATGGAATCATATAGTATGTAGCCTGGCATCTTTCAGTTAGGATAATGCATTTGAGGTTCATCCATGTTTTTGCTTGTGTCAGCAGTTTGTTCCTTTATATTGCTGAGTAGTGTTCTGTTGTTGGGATATCGTGCAGTTTGTTTATCCATTCATTAGTTGATAGACGTATAGGTTGCTTCCAGTTTGGAATGATTGTAAATAAAACCACGGTTCACATTCACATGCAGTCATATGCTTTGTGTGAACATGTTTTCATTTCTCTTGAGTATTATATCTTGATTTATCTGAATTTGGGGTAGAGGGAACATCCTGAAATTAGAAGAACCAAGGGAATAGGACCTCTGTGCTCTTTTAATGGGTGTGAATGGAGGAAAGAACAACGTGGGGAAAGCTAATGTCCCTACTTGGTCATTCATTTTATTCATTCCTTAAAAATTGTCTCCCTGTATCTCTGTAAATCAACAGTAATGATCACAAGTAACACGGCTACAGGAAATTAAAGTCTTGGGACTAAAGGGGAAATTAGTGCCTTCTAGAACTACATCTTTCTGCGTGTCAAGTAGTGGAAAGCAGGGTTAATCTCTCTTAATACTTGGTAGTTTAAACTAAGGGACTAAGAACAGTATGTCATCTGCCCCAGGAATCATACTCAGAGGTGGGCTCCCACATCTTTCTCTTTGTAGAAATGGGTCCATTTTGAATACTCAGATGTTGACTTCATATGATATGAACAGTTAAATGTAAAATCACAAGAGCTTCTTTAACTTAAATGCTAGAGAAATGGTGATATATTCTCTGCTCTAGGTCAACAGTTTGTGCAGATGTACCTTGATAGAGAAGTCAGACAGATATGGAGGAAGCAGTTAATTGTTTTTATTTGTAGACTATTGTGTGTTTATGTAATTCCTGAGAGCATTTTAACAAGAAAAGGTAAATATTTACTTGATTACTGGACTGAAATGTAATGTTTTGCATTATTGTTTTTTAAGAATATTCCAATCCCAACCCTAAAAGATTTTGCGAAGGCTTTGGAAACCAACACACATGTGAAATATTTAAGTCTTGCAGCCACGCGGAGCAATGACCCTGTTGCTTTTGTAAGTAACTTACGTTTTTAAAAAAGTTTTCAATTACAGGTGACATTCAATATTATATTAGTTTCAGGTGTACAGCATAGTGGTTAGACATTTATATAACTTACAAAGTGATTGCCCCCCCCCCCATAAGTCTAGGGGACTATTTTATATAAACTCACCATGTCCTGTGAGAAAGGAATGGCACCAAACATAGGTATTACAATGGCACCGAACATTAGGAGGTATTACCTCCTAATTGAGCTGCCTGCTGCATTTTACTCCATTTTCTATGCTGTATTTTACATCCCCATGATTGTTTTGTAACTACTAATTTGTACTTCTTAATCCTTCATTTTTTTCACCTGCACCCCCAACCCTCCTCCTCTCTGGCAACCATCAGTATGTAAGTTAACTATTGATAATGTCAAAATTATAACTACATGCCAGGGTGTTACAGAGATGGCTAAACTGTGTTTTTATGAACACAATTTACTCCCTTTTTTCAATTGATGTTTAACTATTAGGCAGCACGTGATCTACTGCTTTTTTACATTTATTTTTTCCTATATTTCCTTTCTATAATTTTTAAAAACACAAATGGAGTCATAAAATATATGCTATTGTGCAGTTTATTTTTTACTCAACAGTATGTCTTAAGAGATCTTTTCATATCAGTACATAAAGTTCCGCACCAATTATTTACTATCTGCAGAAGATTCTATTTATGGATCTCTAATGTTGGGTTTTGTCAAATGCTTTTTCTGTGTCTCTTGAGATGGTCATGTGGTTTTGTCCTTTATTCCGTTAATATGGTATATTACATTGATTAATTTTTGTATGTTAAATCAAACTTTCAGTCCTGGGTAAACCCCTCTTGATCATGGTGTGAACCTTTTTCTTCAGTTGGCTTTGAGGACATCACTCCCTCTCCCTTTGATTCTCCCCCTGCCTCAGCTGGACATCCCTTCTCTTATCCATCCCTGTGCTGATTTCTCCTCTTTTAAGCATTGGAACAGCCCAGGGCTCGGTCATAGGCCTCTTCTTTTCTCTGTCTACATTCATTCTCTTGATGATTTCATTCTGTTTCATTGATATATATTATCTGTAAATGCTAGTGGCTACCAGTGTTATTATCTCCAGTTCATACCTCTCTCCTGAACTCCATATTCTTGTCCAGCTCCCTACTTAGCAACTTTATTTAGGTGTCTAAGAGACATCTCAAATTTAAATCCCAAACCAAACTCCTTCCATTCCATCCCTGTTTGTCTCAGTCTTTCCTTTTTCATCAAAGCAACTTGTTTCTTTTGTTTGCTTAAGAGAAAAAGAAATGGAGTCACCCTTGATTTTCCTTTCTTACAACCTTAAATGTATCCAGCCCTGTCTTCAGAATATTTGTAGACTTTATCCACTTCTCACCATTTTCATAACTACCACCCTAGTGTAAGCCACTACCTCCTCTTATCTGGATTATTGCAATAGCCTCCTAATTGAGCTGCCTGCTCCATTTTACTCACCCCAAAGCCAAGTCCTTATGTAATTTCAAAAGTGATTATTTTAAAACTTCATTTAATTTTCTCATTCCTATGCTCAGAAACCCCCAGAAGCTCCCTATCTCATTCAAGTAAAAATCAAAATACCTTATAGGCCTTATAAGGACTTACATGTGCAGGCCTCATCTTTACTGCCCTTTCATTGTACTATAGCCATGCAGCCTCTTGCTCTTCCTCAAATATGCTACCCATGTTCCCAGCTTAAGACCTTTACACTTGTTCCTCTTGCCTAGAACTTCCTCGCAAAAGATGTTCCACATAGCTTCACTTCATCACTTTGAGTCTTTGCTCAAACGTCACCTTTTAGGCGAAACCTTTCCTAACCACCCTATGTAAAATAGTAACCTCACTCCGACCCCTCACACTCCCCGTCTTCCCTACTTTCTCTTTTCTTCCTCTTTGGCTCTCTTTACCATCTGACATTACATTCTGCTTGCTTATTATTTGGGCCCCCAACTAGAATGCAAGTTCCATCAGGTATATTTTATTTCTGAATCTACAGAGTAGTAGTACTTGTCAAATAATAAGCCATCAATGATATTTGAATAAGTGTATGTACAGAAGGATGAATAAGGGTTTTGTTCTAAGTCACATAGCTAGTTGTCACTAATAGAAAGTACCAGTGTAGATAATCTGTCCCAAGTTCTTTATTTTTTTAAATATATTTATTAATTTCCGAGAGGAAGGGAGAGGAAGAGAGATAGAAACATCAATGATGAGAATCATTAATTGGCTGCCTGGGAATTGAGCCCACAACCCTGGCATGTGCCATTGACCAGAGTTGAACCTGGGACCCTTCAGTCTGCAGGCCGACGCTCTATCCATGAGCCAAACCAGCTTGGGCTGTCCCAAGTTCTTTATAGTATTCCATCATCACCACCCCCATTGCCTTTTCTTTTAAGTTAACTTTAAGCTGGATCTTCCTTCCACATGTTTTCTAGAGTTTGACCTTATGTTTGACCTTTCTAAGGGGCTATTTTATATAAACTTACTCATATTCTAACTTATCCCTCTTTCCTTTCCTCTCCTTTTCCTCTTCTCACAAGTTTCTGTTGGTAAATTAATCTGGTGTTTAATTTTTTTTATTTTTAAATGGATATCAGAGAGGAGAGGAGAGAAAGATAGAAATATCAATGACGAGAGAGAATCATTGATTGGGTGCCTCCTGCATACCCGCTACTGGGGATCAAGCTAGGCATGTGCCCTTGGCCAGAATCAAACCCAGGACCCTTCAATCCACAGGCTGAAGTTCTATACACTGAGCCAAACCAGCCAGGGCTGATATGGTGTTTATTATGCACTGGATCAAATGCCTAGCACTACCATGTCCTGTGAGAAAGGGAAGGGAGCCGACTGAAGACAGAGCATTCCTTGAGGAAATGAATGTTTAGTGAGCCCCTTCTCCATAGTCTTTGTGCTCTTGCAGTTCTAGTTATTTGTGATCTCTTTTGGCCTTCTGTCTTAGGCATTCTTTTTGGTCTCTGCCTTGGAAATCAGTCTATAATTTACCCTCATTTTGGCTTTGCAGTAATCCAGCTGCGCCAGGACCTAAATGAGGAAAAAATATTTCAAAGAGACATTGATGAAGTCAATCCTACACAGGAACTGGCAGAAGGATGAGGGACAAGAGAAAACATGACAAAGGGTGTGCATGAGCATGAGGATTAACTAGCAATGGCGAATGTTGCCAACAGAGAATTACATGTGACAGAAAAATCTGAAGATTTGACAGGGGCCCTGTCCAGTGTTGCTCAGTTGGTAGGGCATTGTCCCATGTACCGAGGTCACTGGTTTGATTCCTCTTCAGGGCACCTGCCTTGGTTGTGGGCTCAATCCCTGGTTA